CTCAGGACCTTTGGAAGAGCAAACAATGCTCTTAACCACTGAGCCATCTCCCCAGCCCCTAGTCTTGGTTTTAATAAGTGGGTAGTGAACCATGCAATGAACCCTTCCTACTTTACAATCAGCATGGGGAAGAACCAATAAACTTGGAAACAAAGAAGTACTACTAAGTGCTACATTCATATCTTAGTCCTTTGGGGATGTGGAAATGCTAAAGCTAGTAAAAACAACAATGCACCTTATAAACAGCAGAGATTAATATCTAAAAGTTTTGACAATTCTGTACTGGGGGAAGTCCAAAATGAAGGCACTGAAAAACACTGGTGTCTGGTGAGGGTCCAGTTTCTTTTTCTTTTTCTTCTGGTTGTGACTTAATATAATGAGTGAAAAGAACAAGGAAATTTTCTGGGAAATTCCTCCATTAAAGAGAGTTCCACTCATTATCCCAGCTTTATCATTGTGCCAGTCTGATGAGTAGGTTACAATATGAATTTAGGGAGATGTAAAATTTAGAACATAGCAGCAGCAGCAGCCACAACAGTCACAGCAGCAACCAACTAGAACATTTTGAAAGAACCAGGGCTTCTTTGAATTGAAACATACCATATAGGAGGGAGACTCTTTAAGATTCAGAAAGCAAACAATACTTAGAAGACTTGGGAAGTAAACTAAATCCACAAGTCTCAGGAGAGTGTGACAGTGACAAGATTGACAAAGACCCTCTCCAAGTTTACATAAGCAGTAACAAATGCTGAGATATGGTTGTGCTGCCTGAAAGTGATCATGCAGAGAGCTCCAGGGATGCTTGTTCTTGTGAGCTTCTCAGTGATGCCTTTGCATCACCAATGATTCTGTAATTTAATCCTCACCTATAAATAACCTCTATAAATAACCTCAATAAACTCTCTTGTTTCTTTGCTCTGTCATTTGTGCCCTATCTGGGGTGAATAGATGCTTGCTCACATCGTTCCAGGAAAAAAGTCAAGCAATACCCCTACCCAGGGTTATAAAAGCACTAAGCAGTTGCTAGGGAGAAGGGGGCTCCTTAGGCAGCAGAACTACCTACAAGTTGTATAGGGAATTCCACAGATTCAGGTTTCATGAATTGCTACCCATACCGGGGTGGGCTTTTCATTGATCAGCTCTCTTTGACTCACTCTAACCCAAAATACTTCAGCCAGCTAGATGTGGGTGGACTTGTTTCTTGGGTCTGCCAAAGGGTACCCTTTGTGAGGAGAACCAACATTTTCATGTGTTCCCACCCCGAACATAGGTGTTACTCAGGATGGTGAAGAATAAAAAGGGTTATATGTGGGCGAGGACACAGATTTCAGACTTGAAATTGGCTTCTACTTCTTTGAATGAAATAAGGGGTGATGCTCTATGGTGAATGAGAGAGGGAGAGATTAACGTTTTCTGTAATCTTGCTGAAACCTAGGGAAAACCATCCAAATAATTATCGATTTTTATCCTAAGCCTACCTGCATCTCCACAAGGCTTGTGGCTATCTAACCTTCATATGATAGCTTTATTGATTTTGAATTTCAAATCCTCCTTATACTAAATTCTTTGATTGATTTTTCTATATGCCATTGCTTCATTTTATGGTATCCCGAGGCTATTAAGCTATTACTCTGCTCCAAGTTCAAGTAAATTTTCAGTTTAACAAGACTGTATGGCCTTTGCAATTTTAGTTGATTAGATGGCATTAAAAATAAGCAAAATGTCTTTAATTTGTCTCAAAGGACTTAACCACGGAAAACATTTCCCCAGCCTTAATGGGATATGCATGGGAACTAGTAAATTCTGTAATGTAGGCAATTTTCCACTCGATTCGTCACAGAAAAGTTTGGTTGGCTCAATCATATATTGAGCAATGTCTACTTTATCATTCTCATAATCTAACTGGTATTAGATCCCTTAATGCTGAACTGTAGTCCAGTACATTGTCAACTGAAGATGATCTGTTTCATAAAATCACACATTTAGTTATGGAGAGTTAAAAAACATGAAGGAATAGCCAGTTTATTTTATATTTAGGTAGAAAAAAAGCAAAATAAGCAAATGCCAGCAAATAGATACAGACTTCAGTTTTGGTATATTTTCCTGAGCCACACAATAATAATTTATTCTTTTTTGTTCACTTATTTTATTTTATTTTTTTAAATTTTTAATTTGAATTAGAAACAAGATTATTTTACATGTCAATTCCAGTTCCCTCCCCTCCTCCCCTGCCCCCCACTACCACTCTACCTATCCAATACCTATCCAATACCCACTACCACCCTACCTATCCAATACCCCCTCCCCTGCCCCCCACTACCAACCTACCTATCCAAGAGAGTGGAGGCCTTCCATTGGGGGAGGTCTTCAGAGTCTGTCATACCCTTTGGGATAGGGCCTAGGCCATCTCCCCGTGTGTTTAGGCTGAGGGAGTGAGTATCCCTCTATGTGAAATGGGATCCCAAAGTTCATTCCTATGGTAGGGGTAAGTATTGATCTACTACAAGAGGCCCCATAGATTTCCGAGGCCTCCTCACTGACATCCACATTTATGGGGTCTGGATCAATTCCATGCTGGTTTCCCAGTGATCAGTCTGGGGGCCGAGAGCTCCTCTTGTTCAAGTCAGCTGTTTCTGCGGCTTTCACCAGCATGGTCTTGACCCCTTTGCTCATCACTCCTTAGTAATTTATTCTTAAGATTTTACATTTCATTACATCGGAGAGTCAATTGTTAAGATGAAAAATATTTAAAACACACGGTTGAGCTATGCAACACCAAGACTTCTGGGTGAGTATGTAGTACTCATATGGTTACTTTTAATGGAATCAAGGACCGCTTGGTTTGCTGAATCTGCAAGATACTCTCCCTTTCAGCTATAAATATTAGGCACTTGGCCTAGGAATTCTGCTTCAGCTTCTAGGATTGGTTCTGACCTGTAGTAGAGATGATATTGGGAAATCTAGACCTGTGTTTGATTAATATAGGATTCCTGGCCCTGCTGAGAGAAGCTGCAACACTAGTCACAGAGTCTCTGTTCCCTTACTCATCTGTTGATTGCAGAGGTCTGTGGTAAAGTAGTACTGGGCTTGAAAACATAACTGGGCTTGACTCCCCATCCCTCCATAATTTTTGCCTTTGGTTATTTTAGTTCTCTGTATCCCAAATACTGTATCTTTCAGATGTTATCACAAAGCTTTTACCATAGAAGTGCCACATGCCACTATGCTAAAAACACATAGAAGGCAGGAGGTCTGTAGTTCTTGTTCAGCTTTTAACTTATATCATGTTTCTGCCTTTGTAGAGCCTTTTAAGGCAATATTTAATTTCTGCTTTATTTATTGTGTTGGTTATTGCATTGTATGACAAATGGATTGAAATGTTGCATACTTCCTATATAAATAAAGAAATGTGTCATCTTAGGAAAAATGTCAACCTGCAACTCACTCTGAAATTGTAGGAAAACTCACTATTCATTGTAAAACATATGAACGTGAGGAGAATATGATGGTAATTCTTAGCACGGCATTGATTAAAATACTTTGCAAATTCATTGCACCTTAAACAATAAAAACCAAGTATCTTAGAATTTTTAGGACAGTTTCAGATTGCAAAGTTTTCCAAAGGAAGCCAAAGTTTAAGAAAATCATAAAATCTATGAACAAATTGCCAAAAGTGAATTGTAACCCACATCTGCCATCAGCCCATCAGTTATTCATCTCTTCCTACTCCAGTTTCAAAGGCAATGATTTAGTTGCTGAACAAAAGTTCTGTTTTATTTATAAACTATTATCATCCATTAATTAATGATCATGGTTATGTTTCCAATTTGGTCCTTTGCCTTTTAAAGCAAGTCACCATTAACACATAAATAATACCTTTTAATATTTACCATGCTCTTTATTTTGGTTGTGAGCCTAGCCTTTAATGGCTGAGCCATCTCTCCAGCCCTTACCATGTTCTTTATGACCTTTAAAATCAAAATACTAATTGAAGAACATTTCTTTATTTTTTTATTTATTCCACTGGTAGTAGATGAAGACTGTGTTTAAATTTAGTGCCCTCTCTATAGGAACAGTTTTATTTCTGTACAATGAGACTAGAGAGCTTATGTAATTGATTAAAGAGAAACACATTTATTCTTCAATAATACTGTAAGGTCAGCTAGAGAGTTTTCATTTCCCTTTCCTTCTTGATATTTAGATCTAGAAAGTATTTTAGATACTCAAAATACACACCTGATGATTTTTCACATTTCATTAAGTGATAGAGTTAACTTATGCATCTTTTTGTGAGTCTCAAAACAAATAAATGGTCTATCTCTAGTAATTCACAGGGAATCGGCTCAAAGGCCTACAGGTTGATGGCTTAGAAACAATGACTCCAAGGTAGCTAGCTTGTCAAGTTAGATTTTAGTGATTAAAATATTCACATTGTTAATAAAATAGTCAATGAAAAACAGCTTTATAGTACAGACAGAAATCAGCCCAGAGACATGAAAAACATTAACTATTTGACCCAGAGCATAAGCCCACTGAGGTATCATTTATTATTATATATTTTTCACCAATAAAAAAAAAACCATTCACACAATAAGCCCACTGAGGTATCATTTATTATTATATATTTTTCACCAATAAAAAAAAACCATTCACACAACACTGTACCACAGTGTATTTATAAAAGACCATGTACAGTCTTCCAGGTTAACAGATAAGGAAATGTTTTCTTTTTTCACCTAATGAAGCTTGGCTATTAGAAAGTTATCAGAGAAGATGAAGAAACCATGAGTTTATAAATTTATAAATTAAAATAATTGGACTGTCCTTAATTGTCCTAAAGATAATGTCACCAAAATAACCATTGAACCACCAATAGGACTGTGAACCCCTTGAAAATGTGGCAGCTAAAAATATCCCAGTGCCAATTAACTCAAAAGAAGGTTGACTTTAATTGGGTCAAGTAATATCACTCTTTCTCATCCCCTGTGCAAGTAACTCACAACTTTCAATCTCCAGGGTGCAGTTTTGTTCATCCAGAGGGTACCTTCGAAGATCCATCATGCATGCTGCAGTGGTTGTGATCCTACAGCGTGAGAGAAAGACAAGATTATTTAAGTGGAGGGACCTTAAATGGACACACAGAGACCAAGCAACAAACAAGTGTAAATTAAATATTTTAGTGATGAAATTTTATTTCTAAGCCTCCTGGCCTCAAATTATGTTTACCAGATGGCAGAGTGTGCAGAAGCTCCTAAGAAAACACTGTAAATAATTATATAGCAGTAGAGTTAATAAGCCAGGTAAAGATAGAAATGGATAAATTTCTACAGAGCTGCACCTTCAAGAAAGAATGAAAAGTGTGAACATCCCAATGACTTAGAGGTAAAAATCAGCAATCAAAAACTTTAATAAAAGTGGACCCAGAACATATAGGGCTTCATGGGTGAATTTCCCAAGCACTCAAAGAGAAGTCGGTGCTGTCTTCTTAGTCTCTTTCAAAAATTAGAAGAGAACACACCCAAAATGCATTTTATGAGGCACACACCCATTTGATTCATAAGCCATCCAAAGACAATAGAGGAAAAATAGAAAATGGGCCAGTAATCCTCATGCATATTTAAAAAGCCACTGAACTGCATCACTGAATTTAACAGTCCATTAAAAGAATAAGATCTATATCACAGGCTTTATCATAGGATTGCTATGCTACCTCATTGTAGCTTTGATTTATATTACCATTAGAATTCTTGAGAACTTTTTCACATGCCTGTTGACTCTAATCTTTTTTTTTTTTAAATTTGGGTCCTTTGTATATTTTACAATAGAGTTATTTATATTTTTATCGAGATTGTTTCTTATATATTTTGGGTATCAGCCATTTATGAAATACACAGACTGCAAGTATTTTATCCCATTGCAAATTGATTATTTTCCTTGCTGTAAAAAGATTTTTAGTTTTAATCCCAAATGTCTGATTTTGCTTTTGTTGTCTGGGATTTTTGCTCTATGGCTACAAAGTTATTACTAAGTCCAGTGCTAAGATTTCTCCTTGTTTGCATCTAGTGCTTCACTTCTTATGTTTGATTCTTTGATATTTGGTTGATTATATGTGTGATGTAAGGTAGATTCCAAATATGCTGGAACATCTTTTGAATGTGGTCGTACAGTATTTAAAACACAATTTGTTGAAGAGACCATCTTTTCCCATTGTTGTTCTAGCTGCCTTTGTTAATGTTCAGCTGATTGTAGATACTTCTTTATATCTGTGTTTTCTGGTCTACTAATTTACGTGTTTTTTTTTTAAATGACACCCTTCGGCTTTTTTGTTTATTATAAAATTGTATTATAACTTGATTTCAGAAAAACCTGGTCCTTTGGTTTTGAACTCAGCATCTATTGATTATGAAGCTCTCAGTTTTCCATACTTATACTTTGTTACAGTGATGTAAATTCCTTTGTGTCTAGGTTTTGGCAATCTTTATTATGAAGATGTATTGAACTTTTCCTGAATCTTTGGTGATGATCATGATGATTTTTGTCCTTCATCCTGTTAGGGGCTTATCCTACAGCTTGATTTATGTATGTTCAACAATTCTTTTGTTCAAGGAATAAATACCACTTATTCCAGCTGAAGGATTCTTTTGAATTTAATTTGCTAGTAATCCATTATATCCTGTATTAATATAATTAATTCATTATATACAATAGCTACAAGTCATAGACATCACAATCAAGCTGTCAAGAACTTTGTAGTTTTGGCTGACTCTTACTTTTATGCTCATTAATGGTGTGAGCTTTGGTTGGCTAAATTATCTCCATTAGGCTTAGTATTCTCATAAACCAACACACCTACTACCTAGGAGTACTGTTTGGATAAAAAATTAATGTATGCATAATTATTCTCTCAGTGTTCTGTACTTAACAGATGTTCCTCATAGAAAAGTTACTCTTATAGCTGTTATTTCTCATACTACTTCCCTTATTTGTTAGCATCTTTAACAGTGTCTACATCAACATCTGGAGAATTTATGAGTAAGAAGAAGTTTTACTATGCATCAAATACCACTCCTTTCTCCTTATGCCACCCAATACAGCAGCAGCAGCAATGAAATCAGCCTTCTATGCCTTATGGTGCCTCAAGGCCCCTACTCAGATTTATAGATTCACATCCTAAACTCTGACCCATTTACACTCAACAGGTTCTGTGCATTGAGTGAGGAAGTCCTGCCCTGGAATTCAAGCTTACACCACATTTTCCAGCTCCATTGACCTTAGGAGTAAGTGGTAAGTTCTAGAATCCTGACTCTAGATGTCTTGCCTGGACTTCCATCATTCCTGGAATTTCTCTTGGGCTGTTTTCCTGGAATGTAGAGGCTGAGTGTAACTGAAATTCAAATACCTACTGTACTCTTAATAATCTTTTGATATCACTTTGGAATTGAAAAATACTTCCTTAAAAACATAGTTGCTATGAAATGTAAGGATAATTTAAAAGACTCAAAAGCCACAGATTTAACTGTAAGTTTCTTTTCTTTCATAAGCCTTAGGAGGTATATTCTTCTTAGTGTTTTTTGTCAAATTGACACAAGGTAGGGTCATCTGGGAAGAGGGAATCTCAATCGAGAAAATTACTTCTGGGCAAGTCTGTGGGACAGTTTCTTGGTTAATGATTGATATGGGAGGGGCCACTGCTGGGCAAGTGGTCCTGGGTTGTATAAAAGAGCAAGCTGAGAGGAAGCCATAGGGAGCAGGTTAGTAAGCTGATTTCATCCCATCTTCTCTGCTTTATTTTTGACTCCAAGTCCCTGCCTGGGGTTCCCTCGTATGATGAACTGGGATTTGGATGTGTAAGGCAAGTAAACACTCTCCTCTCTTGGCTGCTTTATAATTCATGGTGATAACTCACAGTAATGGAAAGTAAACCACCATGGCAAATTACTATATAGGAAAAATTGTATGCAAACAGAACAACTAAGTATTTTAGGGAAAGAAGGTCTCTTACATAGTAGTCCAAAAAGTTTCTGTATCAGTAAATCATATGCCATTCTTACAAAAAACAAAACAAAAACAAAAAAACTTTACTATGATATATCCATTTGCAGGGGAATAACATAATTTATTTTCTTACTCTTCCATTGGTAGGCATCTATATTGTTTCCTATTGTTAATTTTTGTACATGAAGATGTTCTGGATATATATATATATATATATATATATATATATGCCTGACACTATTCAGTATACACACATGTATACTATGTACAGTATAATAGGATACTAGATATGTGTATCTATCTTAGTTTAAAATCAATTATTATAATATAAAACATTGGTATGTATAACATCATTATGTACTTGTATATATATATATATGTATACACACATATATAACATACTGAGAAATTAATTATTTGTGATGCTTGAACATTACAGAGCATGGTTCCACAAAGCTGAGTGGTATATAAGTTCATCACTTGGCTTAGCCCTATGGTGTAGATGAGACAGTGAGAAACACAAAATATATGAAACTGCTAGCAATACGGCATTGTGTTTGTTTTACAGTAAACTTTAAATTTATGAGTTAAAGGAGAGCCTCCTAAAATAATGATGGGTAGAATTATAAATGCATAAAAAGAGCACAGACATCTAATGACTGTATTTTAATGACCATCAGCAGAGTAGGTTTGTTTATACCTGTGTTTCCATAAGCAAGTATAAAGTTGTGACAGTGGATTGTGATGCAAACACACTGTTACCACCAGGAAATATAAGGTTTCCATTTCATTATACTATTGGGGACCACCATAACATGTAGAGGTCGTTATTGATCAAAACTTCATTGTGACACATAATTTTTATAAAGTATATATACAAGTGAAATGTTTCCTCTGAGAAACCTTAAACAAAATGAAATATTGTAGGCAACCATCTCAACATATGAAGTACGAATGAAAACTATATTGTATTTATGTAAACTCACTTTCTCAGCACAAATGTTGTCTCTAATTTAATGGATATATACTTCAGAGTATATATTAAGTATGGCAAAATGAGTTATTGTAAGACTATTGGTGCTTTCTATAAGACATTGTTAGTTAAACCCCAGACCTTTGGTAATTCTCCTAGGTTATCCTTAGGAAGGTGAACATACATGTGGACATGCTCCTGGAGCCTTCTTAACCAGAGCATAAGCCAATTCAACTTAGATTTACTTTAACATTATGATACAGCACAATGGGGTTTTAAAGTTTAGCTACTTTTTTCAAAGTGTTCTACAAAATTATTCTCATAGTAGTTTCATTGCAGAACTTACCACATAAGGGATTTGATTATATTCCTGCATTCTCCCTGCTTCCATGAGCATCTAGGTCATTCAATTTAGATTTACCATTATCTGTATACCATGAGTATCTCCTGTTGTTTGGAAATACGTTTTATAGCACATCCATTGTACACTGAATTGAAACAATAGTTTCAATATCTTAAGTAAGGTAATGCAATATGTACTAAGACACTTGCGAAAATTACCCTGTCTGCTGTATTCCTTGACAGCTGCTTATAAATAAAAATTTGTGAAGATGTGAACACGTGTTCAGCAAGGGAAGCAACCCATGAACTTGTGGAACTGTAGCTGCTGGAGTTGTCTGGCACAAAACCACCTCCAACTTGAGGTGTCTGTTTTCTAAATCTCAAACTCCCAGAAACAAAGGTCTTACAAACCCAATTTGCCCTAGGCAGAAAACCTCCACAAACTGTTTTGTAATAGTTGGAGGAAAGCCACAAAATACTAATGTGGTCCACAGATACTCATCAGAGTCTTTGAGAAGAGAAAGAATATTGGGACTCAAACAGGGATCTGACACAAGCAGGTGCTCACATACTTAGGCTTTAGTCTGGACAAATGTATACAGCACAGTGTTGAACTTTGACACTAAGAGTTTGGCATTTCTAGATGTCACAATACTTATGGTTAAGTGAGCAGAGTGCATGAGCATTTGTTACAGGGGAAAAAGTTGCTCAGCAGAAATCCCCAAGATCATCAATAAAAAGAGAGATGTCCCTGGCAGAACTATTTGGCTCTT